AGACAACAAACGATTGAATCCGATGCATGCACGATCTCTCCAGTTACACTAACCGTCACACAATTTCGTGAACGATCCTGCACAATTGGTTTGCCAACAGTAACTTTGAAACCTCTTAAACTGTACCTGGTGCGTCTAGCCATGCACATTTTGGTGATTTCACCTTTTAAAAATAAGTCTGTTTCTGAGTTAGTTAAAGTCATACCATGTCATACATGCATAAGTGTTATTAATAAGGAATGCTCATCATTCTAACATACTTTTGATGTCACCTTAACACTCAATTATTTTGTTATCCTTTTCAGGAAATAGAGAAGTATTTTGAGGAGTTTTGGAAAGCTGTACCAGACGAGGACAGAGATTGGTTAAGTGAGTCTCTGAATGATCGGGAATACTCTGTGGGTCTATTGGAACTTAATGAGAAAACAACGGAAACGCTGGAATCAATTAAAAAGTCTGTAGTCCAACTATTTGCCGATGAGGTCAATACAAAAATTGAAATGCCTTCTTCGTGGGCTCTTATGGAACAATTATTATATGAAGGAGGCTGGAAGGTTTTGTCCCTTGATGAAATAAGAAGGCTCAACTCATCCCTTCCTGAAGAATACCAAATTAAAAGTGATGAGGAAATGTCTAAGTTTTTGAAGTGTTTCCATGATAATGGGCTTCTTTTGTATTTCAAAGAAGGGAAATTAAGGGAACATGCAATACTGGACATTCAGTGGTTTGCTAATGCTTTCAGTAAGATAATCGCTGATGAAAACCACATCAATAAAGATTGTAAAAGGAGATTAATCAAAGAATGGAAATCCTTCAACAAAACGGGGGAACTCAAAGACAAAGTGGTAGATGCACTGTGGAAAGATGAACCTTCATACCTGGAACACAAAATTGAAATTATGTCTTACATGGAGAAGCTTCAAATGCTTGTATCTTTGGAGACTTCCGGTAACATGACATGGTATGTCCCAAGTATGAACAAAAAACAGTTTAAAGCTGACTTTTGCGAGGAAATGTGGGAATGCTCATCCATTTTGTGCTTCCGATTCACTTCCTTTGCCATGTTTGTGTTCTACAGACTGGTAGCATTTTGCATAAGTTCTCTTGGATGGAGTGTTGCTAAAGACGATGATAATGAAGGAGATTTATGTCTTTATCAAACAGCGGCAGTGTTTGATCACAAAGAACACACTGTTGTTGTAGGCATTTGTAACGATGATATTCAGTTGCAAGTGCTACGTCACAGCCGCTTAGCGGTAGACAAAGACGTATCAAATGAAATTGGAGACTGCATTGAACAGGCCTTAGGAAAATTGACGGAAATATTTCTTATGGAAAAAATATTCCATAGAGGATTCAAATGTCAAAACATTATTTGTAATGAGAAAGATATATCGTTTACCCTTGCTAGTGAGCTCTCCAAAATTAAGGCTGAAGAAACACAATGCAAGTGTCGAATTCAAGAGAAACATGTGATAAATGTACCAAGGACTCTTAGTTTCTGGGAAAAGGTAATCCTCTTTCTACCATTATACCCCCTCCCACCAGCCTTCACGAACAAATAGTTTACTAGTATCAGAGCACGCATGAAAGAATCACCTTATCTGTTCATTTGTATATTCGTGACAGGCCTTTAAGAAAATTTTGTTTCTCATTCTTTTAAGCTCAATAATATTATCTGAATAGCATTAAATTTAACATATTTTAAAACAAAAACAATTACGACGTCATCTGATCTATGTTAATTTATATCTTTATGATAAAATTTATTTATTTTATTTGGGAGCTTTTTTTTTCTCTTTGTAAAGACCTAAAATTTTATTTTAAGTTTGCTTAATAAATTCAGGTTCATTTTTTTCAGAAAGAGGCGAAAAATTCCAGCACTGGACAACTTCTGGCAGACCGATCTAGATTCGCAAAACTCGGAATGGCAACAAACGACGTGTTAAATCAAGCATATCGAGATGTGCTTGAGTGGGAAATACACCCTTCCCTTCTTTACAACAAAGTAAAGACATCATCAATTTATAAAACATTACGCTCAGATCAAGAAGATCTCTTGAAAAGAGCTATAAACTCTGGATATATGAATTTTGATATTTCATTAATCTATATGTTGATCAGGAACATTTGCTCAAAGATCCCTAAGCCAACAAAAGGAAAATGGGGAGGAAACAGTTTGCCTACAGCAGGAGAGATAAGGGTGGGTGATGATGTGGAGCGAATCAGGATAATCCGAAACTCTTTGACTGCACACGTGAGCTCAGCCTCCACCCCTCAGACAGAATTCGATGACACGTGGTTGATGATGTCAGATATCTGCCAAAGATTGGAAAACTTCACAAAGAAGAAGTATTCAGATAATCTTAATTTGATTAAAAAACTTACCTTAAAAGAAGAAGATGAAGACGCTATTATAGAAAAGGTTAAAATGGAAAGTCAGTATGAAATGGTGAAGACACTTATGTCAAATGTGCAAGACGTCGTGTCAGAAGTGCATGAAATCAAAAACATATTGAAGCCTGAAAGGAAAGATGCAGCAAATTGAACTTCTTAACTTCAGAATTCTTTGTACAATATTCAAAGTGAAACTATATCAAATTTACAGTCTAAACAGATTGATTTTACATATTGGATATGATTCATGTAATTAAAATAATGTCGATACGATTTTTTTTTACAATATACAGGACATGGGGTTGTTGTAATTTAAGATAACTGTTTTTGAACCACTGTTAAAATGAGTTTTCATTCAAGTATTTTGTTTTGATGCATTAACACATGTTGCAAGGACAACTGGTTTAAATGTTGACTATACTTGAGCAAAATTTTGTTGAACCATTTTCAAGATATGGAGGTGTTTTGACAATATTTTAATGGCAACTTATTAAATATCTAAGTTTTCATGATTTTATTAGAATTTTTCATTCTTCAGTCTGTTTGACCAGTCGACAGGAGATGCTCATTCCTCCATGGCACTTGATCCCACTTCTGATGTTTTAGAGGTCTGTGTTTGTTCTGCTCCTGTTATGTATTGTTTTATGGACTTTGATATTAAATACTGTGCGTTATCTCCATATCCTTCTGTTTTAATTTTAACTTTAATTAAGTTACCTGAGTCACACAAGTAGACAATTGCTTTCAGTTTTCATCGTCTGTCGTGCATTATGGTAACATTTTAACATTTTCAGCATCTTGAACTTTTAACTTATAAAAATCATGTGCTTTCTTTGTTTTCACAGGAATTAATGTTGTAGCTATTGCAGAAAAAATGCATATTAAACAGCGAAAGCGGGTTATTTTTTCTATAATAGCAGCAATATTAATTTTCGTACTAACAAACTTTTAAAGATATTTTATTGTAGCTCACCTAAACGAAGCCTGGGGTCCCAGGAAGCCCTACATTAGTCAGAAATGCATGCAAGATGCTTCTGATGTGTTGTTGTGTCATTGTATCAGACAAGGTTTCAGATGCTGCAATTCTAGCTGCAGATTTGTAGCGTTATGGTTTTGACCACAACGCTACAGATTTTGGGGGAGAATTTCTCCACTTCAAGCATTGGTCAATCAACTACCTTTCACTCCCTAATTCTAGACACAATATGTAGCCAGTATGTATATTTTATCCACCTCCCAACCATTTATGATGTCTCTACAGGCAATGAACTTGCTTGAAGTGAATTTTCAGCAATCTTACAAATAATTTTAATCAAGCGAGTTTATCACTTGTAGAGACGACTATAAAGGGTTGGGAGATAGAAAAAGTAAACAGATTAGATTAAATAATGTGCCTAGGATTTATCATTAAATATAAAACAAAATGTAAGAAAGGTCGCTTTTAAGAGAAACATTATGTATACATGGTAATGGGTGTAATGTATTTCTACTATTTCAGAGCATAGATGTATTAAAATCACAGTTTTGTACATTCTGCGTGTATTATATTAAAGTTATACATAACGCAATACAGTTAAAATATATAATATATATATATATTGCAATTTGAAATCTTTGGCCAATACCTAGCTCTATTATTTATCAGCAATGAAACTGAATAATGATGCTTAGTACATGTATTTAAAAAGTGTGACACAATAGAAAAGAAGAATAAAATTTCAGTTTAACACTGCCAGTGAAGCAGCTAGAAAGTATACAGGCTTCACTGCATATTTTGATGACATATTCTATGCAAATTTTAAATATCCTAGTACAAATTATGGGAGATGCATAGTCACTCAATATTCATCATCGCCATGGTATATTTAAGGAATCACTGTCTAGTTAGGAGAGTATGCCAGGGCATCAACAATAGTGGGAAACATGGGATAATTTGCATAACGGGCGAAGCCCGTTATGCTAAAATTATCCCATGTTTCCCACTATTGTTGATGTCCCTGGCATACTCTCAAAACTAAACAGTGATTCCTTATATTTCCATTTCATTGTGAAATAAAATTGTAGACTTAGACATTAAGAATGTAGACTTATCGATTTAAATTACACGAGGACGTCCATGCCAATTTCAATAGTCCTCACACACTGACGTCAAACACAAAGGCAGCCGCACAAGATTTACATGCATATTTGGCCTCCTTAGCGTCAGACACAGAGACAGATGCGCACGAGATTTGCAAGCGTATTAGGCCTCCTTAGCTGCTGACCTATCGACCTGCCTTATTTACATTCCGACAGAATTATCAGGAAATCAACTCCGCTTACTTTCAAAGGGTTATTATAGAGAAAAAATTTAGAAATGGAAATATTATCACATTATTACATCATATATTCCACATATCCACACTTCACATAAAGTCAAGCTACCACATTCTCTAGGTTTTCCCTCCTAGCATAACTAATCAACAAAGCTTGTAAATGACAAGAGTTTTGCTTAATAATTCAACAAATTTAACAATGGCATTTAAAATAAATTTAAGCTTGGTCGTTGTCTTATCATCAACATTACTGGTGATTATTGCTTAATCATAGGCATAGGCATGAAATGGCTGGATATTAAATAAGCATTATCAGACCCTTGAAGCAGGCGTTGACTTTGTATTGAGTTAGCGTTACCAGTATTGATGATTATTGGTGTAGGGAGGGGGTACCCTATAGACAGGAGGTGGTATTGTACTGAGTGGGTTGTAGTCGGGGGTGGAGGGAAGTGACCTTTGATCGATGAGGTCCACCTCAGATGAAGGTAACTCGTCATCACGTGACAAAATGGTCGGGTTCCTGGGACAAAGAGAGGGGTCCTCCACGGGGACTTCAGTCTGAAAAATGACGGGTCTCCTCTCCTCCAGAAACGTGGGCTTCTCTGAGTGGAGTAAGTACAGCTTCCTCCTCCTTGTACAACAGACATATACAATGACGATCATCACAAGGAGGACAGAGAGTAGGATTATAACAGGGAGCACAATCTCAAACCAAAGGTTGATGTCTGATTTAAATGGAATCAATGGAATATCTGTGGCTTCTTCCACTTGTGAATGATTTTGAATGAAATTTTCAAATTTTGAGATCCTGAACCCTGGCAGAAAGAAGCATAAAAATTCTCTGCTAAGTTCTCCTTTCTCATCTAAAATTTTGCTTCCCTCAGCAGAAATGATATCTATTGCTTCACTCTCTAGATCTTCCTTCATTAACAATACAAGTGAACAATTTTCTCTTTTAGTTATAAATATTTCTCTGCTGATGTTGAACCAGGTTTTAAGTTCCTCTACAAAAACATACAAGTTTTTCAGATCCTTTACAGGACAAATAGGGTCATCTGAAAAATCCACCACAAATCCATATTTGGCTCTGGTGTACACTTCATTAAATATCCCAGATACCTCAACTCCAACTGCATCATGGGTAGACTGTCCACAAGAATCATCTGCCACCACTAGTAACACTTCATTTCTCACAGCTGATTCATTCAAGACTAAGCCGTAAATCACCTGATCATCAGAATTAAATTGTACCCAATGGTTGCTAGGTAATGGATTGCCATAACCTGTTGTCATGGTAACAGTTAACTGTCTTGTGTCTCCATCCTCTGGATCAGAGAAATATTCCGGATCCAGCTTCGTGTGAAAAAGTTTGCCTGGCGTCAGAGAGATGTAGTCTATAGGTTTCCTCAGAGCAGGAGGCTCTCCACATAACCCTAAAACATTTAGATTTGATTTAGAGTGTTTTATATAATTTGTCTATACAGAAAGTATCATTGATGAGCAAAAGAATAACATAAACAAATAATCTTAGAGATATTATAAATTAGTTCCTTTGCAGAGTTTTGAAATGTCTGATAATAAAAGTATAATGAATAGTAAAATCAGTTCCATCACTTACTTTAATTGTGATGAGTTTTCTGTTTCATACATTTACATTTGGGCCAACGTCATGCCAGTAAATCACCATTCACACACATGATTTTTTATCCAAATCTTTATCTAACCATTCTTGTCATGCAACATGCAGAGACACTGTGACAAATCTACAATCAATATATACTAATCACGCTAAAATAAAAGTGTGTAGGCCACTTTTGCAGAACAATATTTCTGTATGTACTATATACTTATTGATTAATGACTGCTGCAGCCATGCAAATGTTTATCATAAAAATTCAACCTTTCTTAACTTTATGACGAGTTTTACACATATTTATCTTGTTATAACCATTTTCAATCAAGCTGGTGTAACAGTTAATAACTTTAAACAAGACAATGCCATTCAATGAGCCATATATTTCTTTCCTTTTGGAACACATTAAAAATTTCAAAATCTTTTTCACCATTTGGACATGAAGAGTAATTGCAGATATGTCAATTTAAGGAATAAAAGCATAATTCACTTTCAAAAGCACTAAATAAAAAGCTAGGTCATCTCTTAAAAAATGTTTGGTTGCCCTCTCCTGGCCGACTGGTTGAAATAGCAAGACTCGAAACTTTTTTTTAAGAATTTAAGGGGTACATTATTTTGTTTTTCATTTCCCGGATATTAGATTTTAAAAAAAAAAGTAACCATTGAAAATGAAATTTTCTTAGGAAAATAAATTTTCACCTGCTTACCTACTCAATGTTTTCATTCTTAATTCATTCAAAAGCAAACATACATTTTAAGTTGGCTCTACAGTTATTCAATAATTTCATTTAACTAACATTTGAAATCCTATGTACACAGGATAAGAGAAATATATTCCAAGTATACAAGAGACACCTACTATTAAGGGTAACTCATCATGAAGGAATAAGATTTAATCTTGAACATTGCAAAATATTTGTCAAGTAGCATGTTAGTCTGAACACTTCATATATTGTATATGATATCTCATTCATTAGAGGAACCAGCATTGTTAAATGTGGAGTATTTTTAGCTCATCAACAATGACATGTCTGTACCTGTACTTGTAGATTTCTTCTGTGTGATGTGAAGATAAATGTCTGTGTTTAACGTAGGACAATGTGTGGTGATGTTGGGGTCTGTAAAGTTCCGTAGTTCCTGTACAGCTACAGTGAGATGTTGTGTCCCAGGACGGGGGGACTTTATCTCAATGTGCCCGTCCTCTGTTACAGATACATCTGGATCTGAACTATTTATCTACAAAGTTAAATGCAATATCCTGTATGGTAAATTAAACCCCTATATCAATTCATATCTCTTAAAACATGCAATAGTTAAAGTTTTTGTACATCAGAGTCAATAAAAGATTTCCATACATTTCTAAGCTGTAAAAAATTCTAAAAATCAAGAACCATTTTGTCTGACTTAGAACTTTTGACTGATCTTGCCGTTTATGAATTAAGTACATGTATTTACTACCAGAGCAGTCTGGTATCCTGTAGGTAACAATATGGTGTAGTTTAACTGCTGGGTATCTTTATCCACTCGTTCCGTGAGATGAGCCTCTGCCCTAGACGGAGTTAATATTATGGTTTTCTGTTCCGTCTCTGATACACTGCTGATCAATACACACCCAAACACAGTCATGTAAATCACACAGAGGTTCATTCTAAAATTAAAAAAAAAAAAACATTTCTAACACTTATGTGTAATTTATAATTTCTATTATCAAGAAAATTCTTAAGAGTTAAGAGATACAGTAGAGTGTGTTTATAAAAAGGATGAGCAATTTTGTTTTCATTTATACATGTAATTCAATACAATAAATAATTTATTTGTAAACATGTTTTACTTCATATACAGTGGCTGGAACGTTATTGTTGACAACTTACACGAACGATCACGTTACACGAACGATTCCGCACGATTAACGCACGATTAAACCTGTTACACGAACGATCTTTCACGTTCACGATTCTACACGATCCTAAACGATTGTTAACGCAAACGCACGATTCTTCACTCAAAATAGTTCAAAATATTTAGGAATCAATATTTTCAAAACGAAATACGGCTTAATACTTATTTAAGATTTCAAACAATTATCAATATTATTTTATAGACTTTGAAAAAAAACGGAAATTGACATTTCTGTAACTAAATATATGAAAGACTTCATATTTTAGATTAAAAAAAATATTTCTAAGGTAATTCTCCGATCAAAGAGAACGGATTTTGTTCATTCTATTAGACGATGTACATGTATGTGGGTCATAGAATTTGAATGAATTTGATATCATGATATGCAGAAAGGGGGATACGATTGAACAAAAATGGCAGCATGGAATGACTTAAATTATAATTACAAATTTTATCCTTATGTTTCCAATGACTCAATGTCTGATAAACTTGCCAATTATTCAACTTTTTTATTTGCAGAAATTTTAAATTAATTAATTACAAATAGGCTCAATAGATAAACACAGATAATCAAAACTCCAGAAAATCATGCCGTGTCCACGTTTATTTGTCGACTAACTAGTTATGTAAGCATTGAGAAATGTTTATTTCTTTGTAAAAAAAAAAAATATTTATTTTCAGTGATTTGATTTCAAGATTATCTTGACCAAAATAAAAATTAAATAATAATTAAAATCAGATTCAAAAAGGCGTTAAAGATCTAAGTACGGTTTATCACAATATTGATCGCGCTATTTGACGAGAACTTAATATAGTACGACTTACTATATTGCTTGTCTACGGGCGATAATTAGTTCGTTCTGCATTCTATTATGTAAACTGCGCTTTTTCATTTTATTTGGATTTTAATTAATAAATTAAAAAAACAAACATGGGAAATGCTTATTTTACAAATAACATTCCGATAAAAACTTACAAAACGAAATTTGCACGATTCTAAATGCACGATCTCGCACGATTAAAAACGCACACGATTGAGTCTGATACACTAACGATCTTGCACGTTACACGAACGATCACTCACGATACACGAACGATTCTACATGATTGGTTTGTCAACAATAACGTTCCAGCCACTGTATTAATTAGTATCTTTCCCGATCATATTTAATAAATAAGAAGGATATAGTGACAGTAATGCATATACCAACCCTTTCTACCTTTAGTTAACTTACTGTTGTATAATCTCCCAAGCAGAATTGTAGTTTGTTCCTCTCTCAGATATCTCTGCAATTGGCTCACATCAAGATTTTTGATATAACGTATAAAAAGTAATATTTGCAGGATTGTTTCAAATTAACATTATTAAATTAATTGTTTTGGATTGATTTAGTAAATATCTATCTCAAAACTCAGATATATAAGTTTCTCGTGTTTATCACTGTGATATACGCGAGCCAACGACAGACTGAGGTGACTGTATGAGCAGATGGTAGGCAGTGCATGACTGTAGTAATGTAATACAGTTTATATTCACATGAATTCACTCGATAAATACATCTTTTCATAAGTCTGCTAAACGTAACAAATACCTCTCAATGGAAAACTAAATATTCTTCATAAAATATATTAGATTAGTTAATTGTCAATGTCAATGATAAATTATAAGCCTCCAAAAAATATAATTTTTATGATACTCACACATGCATGTACTGATCATGTCTTCTAGAATGGAATGAATCTAAATCTATTGATTAATCAAAAGGCTGTTTGAAATTAGAAATGATATCTCCAATTCCTGTTAGAGACCATAACTTTTATACTGCAGGTGCAACCCCATTTCAAGTTGAATGAAACCTCAGTGTGCCTAATACAGAGCATCACATGACAGAGAGATCATAGTCAGGGTGAGGATTGAAGACTGTGGTAGGCTAATGGTAAACATGACTAAGGCACAGGAGTCGACAGGTTATGTTTACCATGGGTTATTGATAAAACTGCCGAGAGTATCAGAAAATGTAGGTATTTTTTATTCACGCGTCTGGACTGTTTACGTATATTCAATCTCACGTTTACCAACTTACCTGTGTATTTTGAATGTCTCGTTATGCCTACTGCTTTGTTTGAAACAACTCAAGAAACAAAGAATAAAGTTTTCTTTGTCAGCATCAGCAGCCACCAACCGGAGATTATTAAGGGTAACTAAATTTAAAATGATGAAGGAGACAATTTAAAATTCCGGATAAATAGTTTGCATATTTAAACCATCTTCGCTAGCCAAAACCCTTCGTTTGCAAAGATGCATTTAAACAATTAACTTATAAATGGATTTAAATAAATGAATGTTTTTTAAGCGAAAGGGAAAATAAACGATATGTCCTCATTTGCCACCCCCTTTGCAATGCCTGTCATAATGCTACATGTACACATGGTACATGTATCCCCTAACTCAAAACATTGCCATGGGACCCTAGCCATAGTCGTCCAAAAGTTCAAGGGCTGACTGTAGAAAAATTAACAAGATATGTTTTTAAAACATGTACTCAAATATGCCCCCTTCCCCCAAATTAGAATTTTTTCCAAGTCCAAAGAGGCATAAAGTTCTCTGTCAAAAATGGTGCAATATTGTAACCCAAAATAGAACATCACTTAGATATTTGCTTGATGAATCTGTATACTAAATTTCATTTCAGTATGTGCAACCTCTCTGAAGAAAATGATCGTGAACTGCAAATAACTGAAATTTTTCTAAATCCAAGGGGCATAACTCTGTCAAAAATAGTGCAATCATACCCAAAACAGAACTTGGCCTAGATATTCATCTGATACACCTGTATACCGAATTTCATTTCAGTATGTGCAGCGGTTGTGAAGAAAATGAACGGAAACTAAATGGAACGACAGACAGCAGCAAAGCAATTAATATGCCCTCCCTTCTTTGAAGGGGGCAAATTTTTTTTTTTTCATTAACTCGAGAACTATTTATGCATCGTCACAAAGACACAAACCACGGCCAAAATGTATGATCTACTCCCATTCTGGCCATGGTTGAACAAGGAAAGAATTCTTCTTAATTCATTAAAATATTGACTAATGCAAGTAAAGCATAGTCGGATGATGAACTTTATCGCAACCTTTCAAAATCCAATCGCAGGATACGAAATATGTCTTATATACTGTTGATGTCAATTGTTATGATGGAAACAAAACTTGCCACTGACTGAATATGACGTCACAATAGAGAGGCGTAAATATTCAAGATTACGACACATTTTCTGATCAAGCAGCGATGGGTAGGAGAGAGCTACATGCGGACTCCAGACCGTGGTTTGAGACAATATACAATTATTGCTGTTTTTTGAGGTCAATACAATGATTTAGCCATCTGAGGAGTACAATATTCACCGAGCCCGAAGGGCGAGGTGAATATTGTACTTCGAAGATGGCTAAATCATTGTATTGACCGAAAAAACAGCAATAATTGTTTTATTATATGATTCACTGATAAAATAATACAGCTCATTACTTGTTTGCATTTAATTAATTAAGTCCTAGCCAAATACAAGAGAGAAGCAGAATTAAAATGTGAATAAACCTTACCAGTCGTATCAATTTGAAATGTTTTTTTTTTAATCAATTTTAGTTGCAAAAAAATGCAAAATGAGATGAAAAAAATATGTATCAGGTCAGTCTTTTTTATAGGATAGATTTTGAAAGGAAGCAGTATTATCAGGAAAAATGACTGCCAAAAAGTTAAAAAAAATTGTTGTTCAGTAAAAGTGTTGGAGGGGGGTCCCTGCATCCCCTCTTACCACCCTCACCCTAAAATATATATTCGTTTATGTTTTGTTCACATGAAAAAAAAAATCATAGTCGTTTAAATAGCTTTCCAAAACAATTTGCATCAATTTGGAATTTCCCAATCTATTTTTAGATCAATGTAGAGGAAATAAATCCTTGTATTGACCTGGAACGTCACGTGCAGGTCAATACAACGTAGTATTTTTCTAACATAGTTGGATCTCAGCCAATCAGAGAGATGGAAATTATTCGATCATATAATAATGCAATTTATGAGGCTTTAATTTAGTTGATTGATGCTTCTCAGTGATATACAAGTAAGCCCTAAAATCAAAGAGAACTCAATTGCCCAAGGGTCTGGTTATTTGATGCCCCCCTCCCCCCAAATCATATGATTGTCTCCTTACATAGTAGTACACCTTCAGAAAAACATAAACAACCGATAGTCACAGGTGACGTAATTAAAGGAACTACAAGACATTTTTCAAACAAATTTTATTCAAGAATCTTTTCATTCCGTTCAGTTAAATTTCCTTCCCATCCCTCAGTGTTAACTTTATCAGAGTTTCTCTCTTCCTTTGAAGGACCAGCTTTTTTGCTGACATAACTGAACCTTTCAGAAAATTCTGTCCTGGACCGTTGGTCTCTCACTATATTTAGTAACAAGGAAGAAGTCTGGTAATGGCGTCTGTATTGTGAACGGCTCCTTCTTGGCCTTTTTTAGATGGACTATGTCGACTGCGGACCTGTGGAGAAATGGGGGCAGGTTCTGTACATGGCCCTGATTGATTTCTAGATTCTGTAGGATTCCCTTTGACAGCTCCTGGAAAAAATAAACTTTGGTGTTTAATATGATTAGTATCTGACAACTAGGGATATTTGTCGACATACATGTAACTACAATGTACTACTAAGCCCCAACCAGTTTAATATGCATGTTCATATAATATTGATATTGACATCTTAAATTTTTGGACACCTCTTTTTCATTGTACAGAACTCAATACCTGAGGCCTGGGGGCCATAAAACTTAGACGAGCTCACTTTTGATCTCAGTCTCATATTCCACTATTGATTCCTTTAGAAAATGTGAGAATGAGATCAAAAGTGAGCTCATCTAAGTTCCAGGCCAGAATCTGGAATTTGTTTCAATATCATAACATTCTGCCCTCCCTTACATTAACAACCGTCTAGATACATACCTGGGGCCTGGGGATACATGCAGATGGAATTTGTTCTAATATTGTAACATTCTATCTCCCTCCCCCCAACACTACCGGCCCTCCAGATACATATCTAAGGCCTGGGGATACCAGCAGATAGAATTTGTTTTAATATCATGACATTCTGTCTCCCCCCCTACACTACCGGCCCTCCAGATACATACCTGAGGTCTTGGGATACCAGCTGATGGAATTTGTTTTAATATCATAACATTCTATCCTCCCCCCCCCCCACACTAACGGCCCTCCAGATACATACCTGAGGCCTGGGGATACCTGCAGATGGGATTTGTTTTAATATCATGATATTCTGTCTCCCCACCGTAACGGCCCTCCAGAAATACTCCTGGTCCCCCAACACCGGGGCGAACCGCTCACTGAGGTAGGCTGGGATCACGTGGTTTGTTGCTGTTCAGAGAAAGGTGTTACAGACCTGTCATTTTTCATGTGAAATGTTTGTCAAGGGCTTTCAAAAAGATTAGGCTATCTAAATTTAATTCTCTGGTTCTCAGGCCAATTTTCTCCAAAACAGATGCGGCAGGGCAGCATTTTATTTATCATTTTATTAGCAATAAAGTAGATGAGGGAGGTATTTTTTTAATTTAAATTTTCGAATTTTCTTTCACATAAAGTTATTTTTTTTAATCACAGATATACTTTCCATTTCTTGTCAAAATTTCTGCTTTATCCATTGCTTATCAGCGTGTAAACATCGTAGGTAATGTCCTCGAATGTATTTTCAAACGAAGTAGCCAAAATCTCATTGCAAATGACTACCGGAAGTGATATTTGAATACTAAACTACGAAACAAATTCGGTCGGAATTTTTTTTCCGGATTGGTCTACGCAATACCAACTTTTTATTTTATCAAAAATACAATAAAATTAGCAATGCGGCTACCTCAAAACGGATGCGCGCGGGCCTAAAACCAGAATTTCAATTCTATATGGCCTTAGAAAAGAAATATAGATTCAACTACACAGATCAATATTTATTTCTTCTTTTTCATAATAAATCAAAACAACATAACTTTATCTACGAAGGAAAACGTTTTAAAAACAGCATAGTTATATACAAATGTACCCATCTAACTAAAATTAGATGTTAGATATACCTGCATACTCACTACACTAACAACTAACAACATCCCATTGAGGTCAAATTCTATCAACAGATCAAACTGTCACCTGCAAAATAATCGTATATTCTTGTTCAGTGAGTAAGTCTAGAGCTATTCTGAATTTGACCTCTGACATCATCCTCTATGGGAATTTATTAGATTTTGGGGTAGCGAGTATGCGAGCGGATCTAACATCTTATTTTAATTACCAGGTAGATTGACAAATGTACAAGCAAAGTTACAGAAAATATCAATTATCAATATTCATTTTAAAAAGTTCTAGTAATAATTTACAGACCAGAGGTGACTGAGATCCTGACATGACTACTTCTGGCCCCCTTCTCCTCATTCCTCCCGATGACCTCCCCACACAAGGTCGTGCTGTATACCTGGCCTTTCTTCCGGTCGTTTTTACTGGGCTTACAGAAAACTGTCTGTAAAATCATAAGTAGGGAAACATGCAGTGTAAAACATCTGGACAGCGGGTATTACCGGGTATATGTCCTATACAGATTATGTGTAAATTGTGTGTTAACTTATCAACTCAAGGATCAAAATTTAAACTTGCTAATGGGGTGAAGTGCATTAACATCTTCAAAATATAGATTCAAAGAAATGTCATGAGAAGGTAAATGACAGTGTACATGACCCGTGTCAGGTACTGTAGATTCCTGAATATACACAAGAAATTTAGTATCTCATAATTTCGTGAGAAGCACCACTCCCTAGATAAAATTACTCTCTTTAATTTTTATGGTAAAATCTTTTGATCAATGGTCCACTTGAGAGTTATTGTTCTTGCGATTTAACATTTAAGAGCCAGTTTACTCTAATATGTACCCGCAAAAGTCAGCTAATCTACAATAATGGAGTACTTGTAAAGGGTAACTAAGTGATATACAGGTTTCTGTGACAGGTACATGTAACTGAGTGATTTTTTTGTACAAAGTAAACAAACTATATTTCTGTACAAGGTAAATAAGTGTTACACCTTTGGAAGGTAAATAAGTGTTTCACCTTTGGAAGGTAAATAAGTGTTATACCTGTGGAAGGTAAATGAGTGATATTTCTGTACAAGGTAAATAAGTGTTACACCTTTGGAAGGTAAATAAGTGTTATACCTGTGGCAGGTAAATGTCTTTATACTTCTCCTTGCTATAGTAAAGCTTCTCCTTTTCTTTTGAAAGCTTGTCAGGAATTCCCACACACAAGACACTGAAAAACATATCAATTAAAAATTGATAGGTTACTTACTCCCAGTAATAAAGAATCTGATTGGCAATGGTTACTTATTCCCAGTGATAAGAAATTTGATTGGCTACTTACTCCCAGTGTTGATAGGGAAGCTGATCCGTCACTTTTAAGCTGAAAAATCTTTTCCGCAGGTATTGGTTGTACTCCTCAGACTTTGTTAGAATAATGACACCACTACACATCCTGAAACACGTACATCATCAAAGAATCGCAATGCAAACTATTCACTTAATAAAATCATCATTACAATAAGAAGAAATATCAAGGTTACATGATTTCGTTTTAAAAGACACCAAAATGTGAAACCGGAGGGGAAATCCATATAAATTTAAAATAAATGCTACAAATCATTCGTCCGTCCTTTTGGAAATTGTCCGTCTGGAAGTCCCCGTCAGTCTGTCCATTAGCTTGGTTTTCCGCACTTTTTTTCTTGTTAAACGCTTGCAGATATTGAGCTGAATTTTGGTACATGAGTGTATCTTAATGAGTTACAGATCAAGTTTGAATTTCCTTTTGCTTCATTGATTTTTGACAGAACAATGGCATTTTGAATATTTTTCATTCCCACTTGGTTTTCCGCACTTTTTTTCTAAACGCTTGCAGATATTGAGCTGAATTTTGGTATGTGAGTGTATCTTAATGAGTTAAAGATCAAGTTTGAATTTCGTTACGCTTCATTGATTTTTGACATAATTATGGCATTTTGAATATTTTCGGACAAAAATATGAAGCGGGGAAAAGACGATGTATAAATGAGTTGAACTGGCGTCTTAATGTTTATTATTTTATTAGATTTAAGGAATTTACAACTTGAAAATCTTTCAGTTTAACCTTGGACATGACTTTTGCACATTAAAAAATGACATCCTGAAGAAAAAGGGGAACCCGGTAGGGGACATGTATTGCTTATGCAATACTCTCAGAATGCTTGTTGATTTTTAAAATAAGTGAATATTTGTCTACTGCTGTACATGCCATATACAGTATCACATTTTTGTAACTCAATTCTTGTCACTGAGTAATCACATCACATATTGACAAACATTCTCAGACTGATTTTAACTTTTTTTGGCGTATGATGAACAATCTAAACAAGACAAACACAGACAGTGGAGATCACACTCACCTGTCCACGGGGAGAGACACGTAGAGTTTGGAACAGAACAGACGCTTCGCCAGCTCCGGTAGCAGCCCGTCTAAGTTTACCACAGGTTCTGTCAGATCAGAGTTCCTCAGACTCTTTGGAGGGTTATCTGAATTCACATCAAACAGAGCTGGGTCATTGATATCTCTTAATCTCTATGTATTGATATGGAAACAAAGCAGAATGAATTACATTCCTTTGGGTAAATGCAGGATGATAGTAAAAATAACTTAGTATGAAAATGTTGGGCAAACAATTTGTACTTATTTAAATAATTTGATTTTTTTTTTTTTTTGCAAAAATGTCATGTAGTTCTAAGCTTAGATACTGTAACTGCAGAATCTGTTAAATAAAAGTCTGACAATTTAAAACAATAAAATTAAAGTAAACTACATTTTCATATTTAAGCACCTTTTTGTGCTTTTTTGTGTGCTTTTTTGTCAGAATACTTAATATGTATAAATTACTTTTTCATGCTAATGATTCAAATAAATGTATAGAAAATTTGGTTCTTAATTAAACCCTGATAACGCTAATGGTACTCACATGTCAGTGGCAATCCCATCGGTTTGTTGAAGGCAACCATATTTTCTAAATGAAATAAAACACACACAAATTTGATTTCATAATTAAATGTACAGAACATACAAGTTTATAAGAAAGAGATCAAGGCAAAGAAGTGATCCATCATACAGAGCTATAGATAACACTGTAAACACAGAGAGGCCTACCATCCTCGTATAAAATGTTGTTCATGAAGTGGTCCATTACGTAGAATGGGTCCTTGTTGTTCACCATTTGTTTGTTGAGGTTCAGTAGTTGCAGCAGCAGGTTGTCTTGGGGTGAGGACTTCTGGGTAAGGCGTGACTTCTGGGGCACCTGTTTTTCCTCCCTCACCTCTCCCCACCCCTGGTGCCTCAGCCTTCTCTGTGTAAATGATAAAGGACTGTTGTGTGTGATCGTTTTCTCCTGCTTCAGTAAATGACAGCAACCAAGGAGTCGGCAGGTCTTTCTGGATATTGAAGTCATTGTCCTAAAAAAAAAATTGTTATGGACTATAGTCAAAAATTCATGCCAGGCTCTATCTATGCTGTTGAACTGAAGTGATTCTTTAGAGGACAAGATAGGCAAATACCAATTTTTGATCCCCTAGCTAATTGAAGTTAGGTGTTAAATGATTGATATATTGTATATTTTTTAATTTCCCCCTTGTGAATTATTCACTCATATGGGCTGGAATTGTATGGAGAGGCCACCACTTGCAGGTGGAGAGCTACAATATTGTCCTATGCTCAGTACTCAGGGCAATTGAGCAGAAAGGAATCTTTTTCCTGCCAGCACTACTGTGACACAGTTTATACAGTCTCATCCGAAGGACCAGTCTCCACATACCACAGCAGAATTCGAACCTGCGACATAAAGATTGACTCCTTACTTTGCGACTCTAAAGCAGATGCTCTAACCACCGTGCCACGCAGGGTTATCTCGGTGAGATGTCATCTCACTGAGCTTACATGCGAGCTACTAATAGAAGTTTTAAATATATTTACATGTATTTTTCTATCTTCAATTTTTTTTAAACACAAATGCATACAGGTGTAGTTTTCAACTTATAGCGAGCGCAGCGAGCTCAATAGACTAACGTGTATGAACAGAGGAAATTCGGATTGAAATCTGTACATACGTCAGCGAAATTTCTCTGTTCCACATTCCCAGAATTCCTGCACTACCCAATGTCCTTTGCTTGAATAAATCAAAAATAGTAAAAAAATTAAAGGAACATTGTTTCTTACCGAAATCTTAACGAAATGATTTTGCCCTACCTTATTCAAAAAAATACCCCCATGCCACAACACCGGCCTTCACCTTGCCCTTCGGAAACGATACAAATGAGTTCACCGGAAACTTACGAATTTTGACGAAGTTATGTCGGTTGCTTCCGTGAAACTCCGATAAAACAGAGCAAAATCTTATATGAAAAGAACGATTTAATGCAATCTCTTTTCCATAAAACTAGCGTTTGCGTTCTAAGTCAACAGAACTTTTTATCTCATTCTGACGTCAGACTTTCGTCACTTCTACGGTTCGGGTATTTCCGATTTTGTCGGACATTTCCGAGGAGTTTGGAATCTCGATCCCGATGCTTGGGAAATGATTTCTTTTAATTGTTTTGTTTTATTCTTTTTGCTTTCTTTTTTTGAATGATAGACAGTACATGTGTAGGTTTCTGACAGTAAATGAACTGCGCTCGCCCCAACGGTCACACCGTAAAACATATTAAGTCATCAACTGTACTGTGGCCCTTTTAACTTATCTTACTATCTAAGCTCTGAAATTTAATGTATATTTTTTTTTAATTTAATCTTTAACATTGTTAAATGATTAAAATGTTATTTGTTATCATTGTTATCATGAATATCTTTATCAGATAAAATATACAATGTGGTGAAGCTTAAGTATTAGTCGTAAGATTTTTTTTTTTTGTAATGGAAAAAGTCACTAGCCACTTTTAATAGTTCCACTCACATGTTTTACCGTTTCAACTCTGTCCCCTCAATGTCAAAAAAGCGCTTGAAGTAGGTGTACAGGTGTCGCCTCGTTTCGACTTTAGACATATTTGGTTTATACAGGTACTTGGGCACAAAAACTAGACAGGGAGCCTGGGGCCGTCTTGAAGCCTCAGTTAGTCTAAGGTGAAACCCTATTGGCGGATATTATGTATTCTCTAACGTTAGAGGGCTAAACCCATAAATTTCTTAGGGGTGGGGTGGGGGTGAAGTTATATGGAAGCGAAACGACCCAGTAGTCAAAACAAACACACCAAAGACCAAGATATTTAACATAAACTTCCGGTGCATTGACAGACACGTGCATTACTTGAAAACAAAACCAGGTAATGTTAAGATTTTACATGAAGGGTTTGTTAAAAACTGAAATCATCACATGGTCAGCATGTAGCACAATATTTCACAATGCCTTGATTCAGCTACATTACATATAGTTTCACAGGCACCTGAATTTTTATCAGTAAGTCGCTAAATAAGCCAAATATCGAAAAATTCTACCCCCTCTATATATAGAATTTTTTGATATTTGGCTTATTTAGCGACTTACTGATAAAAATTCAAGTGCCTGTGATAGTTTGAAAAACTTTCATGAAAAAAATTCTTTAATAAAGCTTTTCAAAATATACTGAAAGGAAAAAGAAACGCAGGGTAAACTTTTGAGGTGAATTAAATTTGTTTTTCTTAAAATACTTTTAAGTTTTCTTATCTAACTTTTAAAATCATCATTCAAAAAGATATAACCAAATTCTCAAATGATTTTGTATGGTTATTCATGAGTTATTGAAGCTCAAATGACGATACCCCCCAAAAGGGAAAATCGAAAACTCTCATTATCTTCAATATCCATCTCGTGCATCTATCACAGTCTTATTTCTCCTTTCCATAGAATTTCATCAGAGTTTTTATCTTTTAAACCCTGGCTATATTTAGCATGGGTAACCACGCAAAAAAATAAGTCAAACGCCGCGCGCATGCGCCAGCGAGAGGAATACAACAGTAAGTTGACTGGCTCAAAAAACCAAACTGCGGAGTTGTTTTCTTTCAAATTTCGTATGAATGTAATGATTATAATCGTGTACACTATAAATGGCTGTTTTTGTGGTAGTAAGGTGGCGATTTAAGAGATGGCAGGATGAATAACCCGCTCGTAACATGGCTCTGTTTCGCGTTAACGTCATCGTCACGGTTGATTAAAATCCACTCCAGACCCTCTCTGACAACGGCTAAAACGTTTTATTGGGGAAAATTTACAAGAGACTGCTTAGTAAATTGTTGTTGCCTTTTTCATTAATTAGGCAATTCAAAAACAAGACCCCATTGAACATCCGTAAACTGTGCCAAGATTGCAATAAATTCATAATGTCTATTAATATTGAAAAACGATTTGCATACCTCATATGCATCAAATAATGCAACAAGATTTGTGAACAAACACGTCGTTATCAAATTTCACGTGTTTTGGGCTTTTTAGCGTTTTCCCTACGTGAAGTCATAAATTTTACGCTTGAGTAATTCTGCATACTGAATTTATTGTACAGTAACTAAATTTCCCATCTTACCAATTTTTGTAATTTTCGGTCAAGTGGTCAAATTTTTATCGACAATTATGCTACCCTGCGTTTCTTTTTCCTCTCAGTATAGGTTCAAAATGAAAAGACTACAGTATTTCAGGCTGAGGGACCTATATACTAGTAGTAGTATAAACGTTCCTGGGTATTTTAAAAATTTTTTATTTTTTTTTATTTGAAAGGACCAAAAAGTTTTGAATTGGTGATCTACATCTAAGTCCTCGATAAAGATCATAGGCACTCCCCATCTTAATTGTTAAAAAAATATATCTCTACTAGTACTATACTATAAGCAAAACTTATAGTATAGTAGAGAAATATTTTTTTAACAATTAAGATGGAAAACTTAAAGTATAGTAGAGATATATTTTTTTTAACAATTAAGATGGGGAGTGCCTATGATAAAGATGGGTTAACTTTAATTTTTTATTGTATAGCAGTAAACTTAAATACGCTGTATGAAACAAGCACCTGTAAGTCAGGTCATGAGTTTCTGACTGTGTTATTCTGTTATTGAACCTGTTATCTGTATTTTCTTTAGACATGGCTAAGAGCATCAGAAGCAAGCGGAAGCGAATGTTGAGGAACATAAAGAGAGAGAGGTACGCCAAAAAGGAACTGGAGAAACTGAAGCAAATCGTGGCATTAGCTGAAAAAGATAAAGATACGGAAATGAAAGACCTGTATACTGGTAAGCTTTTATCAGGGAGAAGGCCACACATTGTGTCTAACAATGTTCTTGTGAATACAGCCGAAAATTGAAACTTAATTTATTTTTGCACAATATATCATCATTAAAAAGTGGGTTCTAAACTATTTAAAATTATGTCCCTTTATTCTTGCTTTCAGTGACAAAACCCCTTGGAAGCAAAGACGATGCAGCAGCTGAACCCTCAGGTAATTAAAGGTTTTATTCCAGTTAAAAGTTATCTAATTATGATGCCTTCAATTTTTAAATCAGTGTCTGGTTATTTCATATTTTTTTCTCGTTTCATTTTAACTGACAAATTTTAGCTAATTTTCTTTTTCTTTAAGTTTTATTTTAAATTCATGTGGTGAATTTTCAATTGTCCCAGCTTATTCTTAAATTGTTTTACCTATTAAAAGCTGTTTCTTAATTTACTTCATGAGGAATTAGAACTTTAGTTCCAGGACATGTTGGATAGAAAGTGAAGTGATGTCCTTAATATATTAACCTTTATATTAACTTATATTAACTTGTCGCTATTTATGAACTTTTTGTAGGTGATGGTATGGAAGTGGACTCGAAAGCTAGAGATTCCAAAACTCTGCGTGATGAGAACGGACATTATCCGGTGTGGATGAATTCTCGACGCGTCAAAAAACACAAAAAGAGACTCCAGGCCATCTCTAAGAAAAAAGAAAAGAAGCAGAAGGCCAAGAAGAAGTGAAGATCACTACAAGATTGTATATTGTGTTTGCAAATGGGGGCAGAATTCTTTGTGTGAATATAATTGAATGTATTTTTTTAGTGGCAATTATTACCGGTAAATTGTCATATTTTTTCTTCAAAAATTGATTTTTTTTAACCTATTTCACTGGGAAGAGGGGGCAGTTTGAGGAGTGATGTAAGACTTGGACTCTCTTTGCTAAGGTGTGGGCAATTTGAGGGTGATGTTGTGGAACTTTGACAATAAAATGCTTCCCTTGGTTGTAAAGCATTGGAATTAATATTACAAGTGTTGGAAAATACACAACCCACCAAATTGTCTGCAGTATAACTGTGATTCTGGTGAATTCCTATACTTACAAAGAAAGAATTTCATCATTATTTGTGTATTTATGTCCATGTAGAAAATCATATAAAGTACATTCGTTTATGTAAGTGTGTTAGATATTGGATTATTGAAGATAATTTATGTACTTTGTCATTTGTGTACCGATTAAAAGCTCATCACTAAACAAATCTACACAGGTAGCTTGAAAAACTGCTTACCATAGATTAAGCATTTACAGTTTGATAAATGACTTGTAAATATTTTCTTCACAAATAAAGATAATATCTGATGAATGTAAATATTTCTGTGTTATCATTGAATGATTTCTTTATATAGTTACTGTAAATCTATTATATTTGGTGTGTACAATATTTGGCAGAAATTATTTTTTCAACAAGTTAGCATAGATTTGATTTACATGTAGCATTATCTGAATGTGCAAGATAATATTGTATGATATAAACATAACATGTAGCTGTAACAAAAAGGATTCTTTTTCCGTCGAAATTGCTTTTAGAATACATTGCTACAGTACAGCTCACGAGTTTTTGCCACCCCACGGTGGAAAATACACGGTGTAAAATACTCCGTGTTACACCGTGTACACGGTGTTCCACGGTGTGTGTATATTGCGATCGTTCCAAAGACGCACCGTGTAACACCGTGGACATCACCATTTCCTTTGGGGACCCTCCGTGTTCCGCCGTGTGAGAAAATTACGGAAGTTAATAGTTTGTTTATAAAAATCATTTCAGTTATAGAATTTTGAAATTATAAATAATGATTATTTGATAGCTAGAAAAAAAAACATCAAAAATAAAGATTGACTTAATACAAACAGTTCGTTAACAAACATGTGAGATCATACTATAAGAGCTCCGAGGTGTTAACTTTGGTTCGCCATTGACGGTATGATTGCCAAGTATATTGAATAAATTTAAATTCTGTTGAATTCATATTTCATATTTATTTGAAAACAAGAACAATTAATATATATCTATTGCGCAAATTGTTATGTTTCCGATATAAGCGATAAATCGCATGTACAAATCCAAGTACAAGACAGTACGTTGCCGTTTAACTAATTCAGTGCGAAACATAGATAATTTTAGCGATTATTTTCTCTGTAAAATAATTATTATAAAGGATATTTACAAATATTTGATGTATCAGATAGCTAATTCAACATAATTTGATTACTACTTCTTAAATAAAAATAGTGAAATAAAAAAAAAATGTCGAGTCAATATACATGCAGATTATGAATACATGTATACCCTTATTTTGTAGAAATATTATAGTTTAAATAGATTAACCACATATCAATGAAGATACTAGCTGTAAGTTGCTACGTGCGAGGAAGAAAAAATGCATGCAAGAAAAATAAACCCTAGTATTCACGATAATTTCTTATACGTAGTTTGGGAGTTGACTAGTTGTATACATTCACACAAAAAAAAAAATCTGGCAGTTGTATGTACTCATTGATTTAACCTGACATTTTGAGACAGAAAAATTCAATTTCTTTCGAATATGTGGAAGTATTTCTACCTGAGTATCGGGTATTCTTTTCTTGTTTATTAATCGTCTGCCATTAGTACGAAAACTTTTTTTTAATATAAAAAATTGCTTGAATTGCTAAAGCAGCATTCTAAATATTCCTCTACAAATCATATATAATTTACTTTTTAGCTCACCTGAGCCAAAGGCTCAAGTGAGCTTTTCTGATCACAATCTGTCCGTTGTCTGTCGTCGTCGTCGTTGTTGTCGTCGTCGTCGTCGTAAACTTTTCACATTTTCATCTTCTTCTCAAGAACCACTGGGCCATTTTCAACCAAACTTGGCACAAAGTATCCTTGGGTAAAGGGGATTCAAGTTTGTTCAAATGAAGGGCCATGCCCTTTTCCAAGGGGAGATAATCATGAATTTGTTAAAAATTTATGGCATTTTAAAAAAATCTTCTTCTCCAGAACCGCTGGGCCAGGAAAGATGAAACTCATGTGGAAGCATCCTCAGGTAGTGTAAATTCAAGTTTGTTCAAATCATAACCCCTGGGGCAAGGATGGGGCCAAAATGGCCGACCCAAGTTTGACATAGGAATATATATAGGAAAATTTTTTTAAAAATCTTCTTCTCAAGAACCACTGGGCCAGGAAAGATGAAACTCATGTTGAATCATCCTCAGGTAGTGTAGGTTCAAGTTTGTTCAAATGATGACCCCTGGGGCAAGGGTGGGGCCAAATTGGCCGACCCAAGTTTTACATAGGAATATATAGGAAAAATCTTTAAAAATCTTATTCTCAAGAACCACTGGGCCAGGAAAGATGAAACTCATGTGGAATCATCCTCAGGTAGTGTAAATTCAAGTTTTTTCAAATCATGAGCCCCGGGGCTAGGGCGGGGCCAAAATGGCCGACCCAAGTTTGACATAGGAATATATAGGAAATATTTTTAAAAATCTTCTTCTCAAGAACCACTGGGCCAGGAAAGATGAAACTCATGTGGAATCATCCTGAGGTAGTGTAGATGCAAATTTGTTCAAATGATGACCCCTGGGGCAAAGGTGGGGCCAAAATTGCCAATTAAAATTTTACATATGAAGATATAGGAAAAATCTTTAAAAATCGTCTCCTCAAGAACCATCGAGACAGGAAAGATAAAACTCATCTGAAATTATCCTTAGGCTTCTTTTCAAGTACTTCAAAGCCATGATTAGTGATATTTATATGGAATCATCCTAAGGTAGTGTAGATTCTAGTTCAAATCATGAACCCCTGGGGGGATAAAATTCAAGCCCCCCTCCCCCCACCATCACCTCAGTAAACTTTCAGTTCTGATCTGATATGTGCTTTTTCCTAGCCGATGTGCTCAGGTGAGCGCTGTGGCCCCTGGGCCTCTTGTTTCATAATAATTTAACTGATTTTAATTCATTTCTACATTTTAGAATGTTCAGAGAGAGAGAGAGAGAGAGAGAGAGAGAGAGAGAGAGAGTTAACTTTCAAGTTCATCTATCCGGGTTTTTTTCACATTCTCACATACATAATATTTGTACCTCTATTATTTTTCTTCTAGAAAAAAAATTTACTGGATATCGATGAATTGCAAATTCTCTTGTTAATTAGTGTACAGAGTCACTTCTTCGTCAATATATTTAATACCTGTTCAGAAATGCAGTAATTTCTAAAGTATAATGTATTTCTCATAACAGCAAACATTATTTTCAAAGACTAGTTTTTACTACTTTATGTTATTGCAGGTAATTATTTCATTTTTTTTTTTTTATTTTAATCAGTTTTTCTTTTCTTGTCAAGTGTGACTGTAAAAAGCAATACGAGTGAGAGAGAGAGAGAGAGAGAGAACTCCCTCTGACATAGTCTGTTATTATTTTCTTTATTTCTTCGTTTTACTTAGGTTATGGAAGTCAAAATTAATCATTCTAAAATTCTAATTAATTTCCACAACTTTGGTTCATATTTAACCCATTTCATGCAATGGATCATGTATATGCTGTACGCACGAGATTCTTTTCCATCAACTCATTCACCTGTCAATCAAAATCGTATGTCGCTAGGTGACCTTGAGAGTCTGTTTACGCGGAAAGAATTTCTCTCGTGATTTGAAACATTCTCATGGTCAGTTCCGAGTTCACACCTGTTTAAAAATATATTGGGTCCCTGCCGGTGGGCCAGGGGCGCCGTATGTTTATCACACCTTTCACATTCTTTAGTTCTGATCACAGCAAGTGTATACATGTAACACACTCAATTGATATCAAACGAAATTCATCTTCCAGGTTTCACTACAACAATGAATATAAAGTTACATGTACTATATTAATTTTTTTTATCCTTTTTCAGACACAAATAAGCATGTATTCAGATTTTTAAAAACTTAAATAAATTTGCTGACTTTTGATAAAGTTAATTAGCCGATTCGTATCACTTTCTAGAAGGGGTACAATTGTAGGGGGGGTGGGTTAAAACCATTTCTAAAATTGCTAAATGTCTATGTTTTCGCCGCAAACTGTTTTTTTTTTCTTTTCATACGATATACATTTCTGAATGAATAATCCTTATCTTAACCAATGATTTGCCGAGTAATAATCATTTCAAAGAAATTGATAAACTTTGATTTCGGTAAATGATAGGACATGGCAACTGCGCAAATTTAAGATATTAACCGTCTCTTTTGATGAAAAATTACGTATTTTTAAAAATAATCATACCTTATTTACCGAACACTTTCTGAAGTTTAGTTTAAATATGTCAATCATTAACATTGTATAAATGAGTACATGTACGAAGCAGTAGTAATACACAATACACACATTGTTGAAATTATATAAATTTTTGAAAGTGGGGGGGGGGGGGGGGGTTTAAAGGTTTATAAAAAATGGGATTGAAGGGAAAAGATTTTTAATTATAATGCACGTTTTACATATACATGTAATTAAACAACTCGATGGGATAAAGGATGAAGTATGGTTTTTAAACGTGGTACATGTAGGTTGATCAACCTCGGAAAAAGTATTTGTATGGATTAATACCTGAAAGTTTTTGAAAAAGAAAGGAAAATATATCTCCGAACCCGAAAATCCTATTTTGTTAAGGGGGTGGGATTTCATTTTGTTTTCGCAACCAAATTTCTTTATATAATACAACAGTTAACATATCTATATTTCTATAGTAAAAACACAACAAAAAATTGGGACTTCCTTCTTTCTGTTTCTTTTTTTTTGCAAATCCAAGGGTGGTGTGTGTGTTTGTTTGTGTACCCCCCTCTGAATCCGCCACTGGTATCCGAGAGAGATAGAGATAAAGAGAGATTTATAAAAGGGGGCTTTATGTTTCATACTGTCTTTTTAATAACCCCACAAGTAATTTTAAAATGAATTATTTTTCGTCTGTTTTTGTTACATAATTATAGAATTTTTGTTATTATATACATTGTATTTAAATATGTAACAGGTACTTGTATATAGAAATCGCAGTGAATTTGTGACACAGGAATCTTAAAAGAACTGAACCATGCAAATTTATGATATTAAAAAAAATCATGGAGGGATGTACATTAATAGTGAAAATGGGGGGAGAGTCAACAATAATATGTGGGTTACGTCAGGACCAGGCACGTGTGTTTACAGGTGTGTCATCTTGTGTTCAATCGCCTACGGGTGTAACTAATACAGGGTTCAGGCCTAAAGGCCGGTATACACGGTAAGATTTGTATTATAAGATTTGTATTATAATACAAAATCTTACTGTGTATACACTCTTAATACAATGTATCATAAGATTTT